AATTAGCAACATGTTGACAGATAATCGTATAATTTATTTGTTGCTTCATTGCAATGACATCTTGTCAAATTTGCTTATTATATAACCTAACTTAATTGTGACTGTCACAATTGACAACCATGTGAAGATTTGAAATGTTTAGTTATTATTATTTTTTTGTAAATTTAAGCAATTAGAGATTAGATAAATCTTTTTTGAAGAATATAATCAGTGGTCTTTCCTATTATTCAATTACCGGATTCGCGTTATGCGTCGTTCATTCGTTATGAGCTGTCAAAGTTAAGTAATAAAATTCGTTTTTTGTTTTAAATTTGTTTGAAGAATAGATGACTTAATCTAAATATAGAGGGCGGCACACACACACACACTCAACCCCTCTGCGAAACTACATTTTATTTTCGAACCTTCACAACAAACATTATTAATAGAAAATGAAATATACTTCGACTCCAGCGTGAAGGGAAGGAAAACGAAGTAAATAAATAGTTTTTGCCGGTCTGAGGAAAAACAATTAGAGCGCATTATCGATGCCACACTTTGGAACTGCGAAGCATCTGTCGCACATGTGCACGCACGCACACTTCACCCGGATTCACTCGTTAATTTAAAATGAAGAAAATAAACAGCATCATCATCATCATTGTCGTATTTGAACTTTTCTCGAGGTCGCGCGTTCACGAGAAGAGCGCTCCTCTTCGCCTGACATTTCGCAACGCCGCCTACGCAACACAAAATATGCAATTTTACATCTGTATTATTATTAATTTTTGTTTGTTTTGTTTTTAGCATGCGAATGCAGTGAAGGTGCAAGCCGCCTCGTACGTGCAGAAGAAGCAGGCCAGGAAGCAACAGCTGATGATGATGTCCAGATCGGTGACGGGAAGTTTAGCGCAAGCACAGAATCTCGTCGAAATCACCGACGTCAAATATTTCTCGCAGCCGAAGCCGGGCTCTTTCTTCGCCAGGTAAGAAAAACGAAATTTCGTTTGACTGAATGAATGATTTTGAATGATTTGTCTTTTGTCGCAGGGATAACTTGAGCAATTTCATCCGCTGGTGCAGAGAGTCGTTGCAGATTATCGAGTGTCTCCTCTTCGAATCCGACGATCTGATAATGCGGAAGAACGAGAAGCACGTGATTCTGTGCCTCCTGGAGGTGGCGCGACGTGGTGCCAAGTAATTATCTTCATGATTCATGTTGATTGCAAATTGTTGTTGATTGTGGCGTTTTGTGCAGATTCGGTATGTTGGCGCCGATGCTCGTGCAGATGGAGAGACAAATAGACAGGGAAATCGCGGCGGATCAGAGGAGGAACGATTCGATACATGCGGACGTTAACGGCGTTCCTGGATTACGAATGGAACAGAACGGAGACGACGAGGAGGACGACGAAACCGACAGCGAAATGGAGGACGAACAACCGGTGATGGTATACGGACCGCTTCCGCAGATCGTCACCAACGACCTGAAGAGTTTAGACGAAATGGTAAATAATTACTACGATCATGATGATGATGATTGTAAATCGGATGGATCGACCCGGGGCATCCACCTAATTTGGTCGCAGCAGCAGCAGCAGAAATAGAGAGTTTCTGAATTGTCTCATTGTATTGTAATGCAAAAACGATGAATTATACATGCGCGCTTGTTTGTTCCCATGACAACATATCGCGGATTGTTGTTTCGTTCCCATGCGACGACAACAACAATCACATTTTTCATAAAAAAAATTGACGTATGAATCTCAAACTCAAACACACGTAACATTCTAACATTTCAAATGAGAGAGAGAAACGAAACGATAAATTTTTTGGATTGTTAAATGCGGCGCAAGAATTCAACGTCGCAGACACATAAATCGCGACCAATATATACCACCACCAGCAACAGCAGCAGCATTTATTTTCTATTTTCCTTTTTCACCGATCTCCGCATTCGATTTGCGTATATATATATAACTAATTTGTATGTTTTGCACAGTGCTGCCACCCCACGCTATTTTACCTCTTCCATCCCCACGCAAATTTTACTCTCGCATCGATATATTTCTCTCTCTTTCTCTCTTTGATACTTTTTGTCTGCGTCTCACTTTTCGTTTCATTTTTTGTGCAAATCTCTGCTCCCATTCCGATCCGACACCAACGCCATCCGCAAAGTATACAAGAAAGAAACGCGCATTCCGTATGGACATTATAGCTAATTACCTCTGAATTGAATTGAATTCGTTTAGCGAGGAATGCAATGTTTGTTGTTCGGCCGTTAAGTTGGATACATAATCAGCAATCGCAATTGTTTTTGGTAAATGGATATATTAGTAGGCCGTGAAAAACAAATTTCGTTAGTCGCCATCTCGATTAAACATACATAAATTTCCATTGTTTTCGCAATATGATTATTATTGAAGAAGAGGTCCATCGCGTCACGATTTTCCAGTGAAAGTAAGCGTTATTATTATTATATACATAATCGCGCCTCCGGACTTTAAAAAAGCAGATCGGATCGATCCATCTCTTCTGGGAAATCAATTCATTACAACTTCAAGAGTCAAGAATATCACTTTATATAATGTATGTAATTGTGTTTGTGTACAGGTGAGGGATCTTGTGGAAAAGTGCACTTGTCCGACGCAGTTTCCGATGATCCGGGTGTCCGAAGGAAAGTACCGGATCGGCGACACCAAAGTCCTCATCTTTGTCAGGGTGAGAATATTTCAAATTGTTGTGTGTTGTAGTTAAATGTAATGTTTTGCAGATCTTGAGGAATCACGTTATGGTGAGGGTAGGCGGTGGTTGGGACACTCTTTCGCATTACTTGGATAAACACGATCCGTGCAGATGTCGGGCACAGCACAGAACGACGCAAGGCGCGAGACTCATCAGTAAAACCGGAGCTTCGGATCTCCAAGGCGCTCAGGTCTATTACGACAGGTAATAATATCAATATCAACGTTGCTGCTCATTTAGATTGTGTTTTGTTTTCTGAGACACGACGAATCAGAGCTGCTTTGAACGTGTAAACAATTCTTATTGGGCCAAAATAGTTGCAGCTGCGAATCATATCGTCAAACACAATCTGACGATCGGCATTTTTTTGTGTTCTTAGCAATTCTATTGGTTCTATATCGTTCGTTCGGGTCGGCCCACAAAAACAATTGGTGTTTCAACGCTAAACGTTTTTTGTTTGTTAACTGATAAAATTTTCTTTTATTCAAATCTAAACCAATCGACAAACGGGTACTTGTCAAGTATAATTCACTTGTATATCTGTGCATTCTCAAAGTGTGCTTGGAGTATTGTTGTTTTTATTCAATTGTTTCTGGGTTTCTTTAGATCTGCCGGAAATCAGAACGGAGGATCTCCGAATCACAGCAACGGTTTTAGCAAATCTTCGTTGGGTCCACCGATGAACGCGATCAACAGATCGAGATCTCGATCTCCGTCCCGCATGAGCAACGATCGTCGCTCGGTCAGTCCGTTTCTGCAGAGGAAGAGTTTGGTGCCACCGGCGAACAGATCCAGATCACCGACACCCAATTACGTCTCGACGCACACGACGAAGCTGTCCACCAGCAGCAGCAGCCCGAAGAAGACGCAATCCTCCAACTATTCTCATCAATCTCTACCGTACATTCCTTCGACGACTCAGACCATTCCAAAGACGACGAGCCGCAACAGCCCGAACCATCATCACGTCACTCACATACAGATTCCTGCAGACGGCAACAGCAAATACGGTGCAAACACGACGATGAAGGCGGAGGCGAGTCTTCAAGTTTCTGGAGACTCGAACACGGATCACAGCGATAACGCCTCCGAGGTCTCCGACGAAGGTTACAGGAGTTTGGGCGTCGTCGTCAACGGCGGCGATAAGAAAAACAGAAACTCGTTGTACAGCCAGAACAGCGCCGAAGACGTAGAAGAAGCAGGTGAGAAATTAAATTAAAACAAATTTTGTAATAAGCTCGATTTCTAATTGCACTCTTCGCGCCGCAGAACGTCAACTGAGCAACGATTTCAAGGACGAGTGCGTCGCCGACAGGAAGACGCTTTACGTGCCGTCAGAGGGTGGTCTCCGTTTGGGCAGCGTCGACAGGGAGTTGAGGAGACCCGAAGGTGAAAGACGGTCGCAGCAATCTGCAGGTCGTCGTCGCAACAGCATGGACAGTGGCAGAGCGTCGCCGATGGTGAGGACTCCTTCGAATCTAGAAAGACCATCAGCAGCAGCAGCTGCAGGTAGCAGGAGGAACAGTGCAGAGAGGAAGCTTCCAATTTCTCCAAAGAGAGGAGGTGCGACAGCGAGATTCGGTGGTGGTGGCAGCAACAGCAGTAACACGTGGAACGGACGGCAGAGAGCGCAACGGCCCAGTCTGAACGTGGACACCTTCACCAACGGCGGACCTTTCTCGAGAAACTCTCCGACTCGGAGCAGCGTCTCCTCTTCGTCGTCCTCGTCGACCGTCCACTACGATCACAACGGTCGTCGGTTGTCGCATTCCGCTGCCACTTCGCCGACGAAATCTTCTTCGTGTCTGAAGGAGGAACTCATCCGGGAGGTGTCGAAGGCGCACGACAACAAGGACGTCGTCATAGCCGTCACGAAGCTGCTCAAGATGTACGGCAGCATGAATTCGCTGAACCAGTCCAAACATCTTCAGGAGGACGTCTTCAAGAAGAGGAAGGACTCGAAACCGGAAAACTTTGTGTCGCGAATCCCTGCGCCCGTCCTCAATCGCATGTAACAGAGCAGAGTGTGCGTTACATCTCTTTCTCTCTCTCTCTCTCTCTATATATATATCGATGCATCGTGCATAGATCATATATTATTTTTGTATCGGGCAGATTTAGATTATTTTTATTTTGGTAAAAGTCGTCGTTAGCGATCGAATACAGAATAGATTGATATTTTTACATGTGAAGAACTATAGCTACTATATAGTAATAGTAATAATAACAATAATAGAAGTAGCATAATTGCAAAATAGAACAAGAAACAAAACAAAAAACAGTGGCTCGATTCAGTTTGCAACTTGATCAAAATCTATTTTGCGTTTGTCCTCTTTTTCTCTCGTTACCAGCAATTGTTTCTTTTTTTTTTGTCTTCAATTGCAATCAAAAGAGAGACGACGCATTTTGAAAATCTTTTTTTTACTTTTTCATTAGTAATTATTATTATAATTCATCAATATAAATCGAGGTGCTCTCTCTCTCTATCTCTCTCTCTATTCAATATACGGTAGCTTCTTTCATTGCGTTGCGTTGTTGTCGGTCGTCGTACTTCATTTGTTTGTTTGCGCGCGCCACCCTTGTATTTGTATTGTATCTGTATTTTATGCAACATATATATATATATTTTTTGTTATTTATTTAGCTTAGCTTTAAGGAAATGAAGAAAGAAAGGAAAAAAAAGTATCGACAGATTTTACGTTTTTAATTATTGACTTATTATGATTATGATGATAATTATTATATAATATTTGTTATATTTTATAATTGAATTTAGCTAAAAAAAAAAAACTCTTTACACACACACAGAGAGAAACAAAAAACAAACAAGGCAACAAGGGTTATTTTTATTTTATTATTTTTTTTTTGTATGTTCTCCCCCTGAATTAATAAACAAAAGAAAACTGCAGAGCACTCTCTAATTTTCGCACCTCTCATTCTTTTCCTCGTGAATTACGTAACTAGGCAACGCGTAAACGTCTTTTAACGTCTTCTGTCTCAACAACAACAACAACAAGTTTGAACACTCAAATTAAATTGAAATAATTGGGCTTTAATTTGAACAATTTTAGAAAACAAATTCGTATATTTCGAGTTGTGAAGAATTCAATGTCTTCACAAAATGCAAATATTGGCAGATTTGCATCTGTTTCATGTAATAAAGTACGATCAATTCAGTTGGATTGGGGGGATAGGACGATGATGATGATGATGATGATGGTAAGGTAGAGAGTATAAGAATCAAAACGAAAACTATAAAAATTTATGACCATATATAATTTATGTTGTACATTTACAATAAAAATTATATCCATTTACATATTTATATATAATATATATTCATATTAAATCTCGCCACTATGCATTATATTTATATTTATTTCATATTCTCTCGCACGCAAAATGAACAACATTTTTATTGTATTCAATAAATTTTTAATTTACGCACATTTTCATACTTGATCGTCCCGCGTGTGCTAACTAAACAAAACAAAACAAAACACAAATATAATATATATATATATGTGTTTGTATGAAATGACAAGTGACAATAAGTAAGATAGAAAGAGATGGTAAAACTCTCCATATTTTCGTCCACACTTATTACCAAATAAATATTTATACAAATGTTTATACGACTTTTGCTTCTTTCTTTGCAAACCTTTTTATACATGATGTTCGTATGCTCTACTTCTTCTGCATGTTCATTTTTTAGTCCGGAAAAGAAAAAGAAACTACAAACTTTTGCATCGCAAGAAACGAAAACCGAAACAATACAAAAATTTTCCTACGTCTCACTCTCTCCTTCCTTCCTCCGCTCCCAACGAAATTTCCCTAACAATTCAATGTTGCTTTCTTTTTCTCTCTTTTGCATTTTACATATTTTTTATTACACGTGCATTGTTTTCATTGCATGTATATATATATATTTGTTTTTTGTTTGTTTGTTTGTTTAAATATCCTAAATATCCAAATCCATATTTATATAATACGTATGTAGTAGTAGTAATAGTAGTAGTATTTATGTCTGTATATATCGAAATCGAAGCACCCTGTTCATTACTTTCTTTTCTCCTCACTAACAGTTAGTAGTATACTAATTATATATATATATATCGTCTCGCTCTCTTGTCTCTTCCTCCTATCAATTGCCGCAATTTCTTTAATTTTTGTGTGTGTGTGTGTGTGTTAATAACATCAATGATAATAATAATAACAATTAATAGAGTAAAGCATCACAGCTATGAACTTGTCTTACGAATGGAGGAGGAGGAGGGGGGAAATGGAAGTGTTTTGTTTCTGGTTGATGGGTGTACAACAGACTTTCATTCGTTCATTTTTTGTATGTTTCCTCTTCTTTTCTCTTCTCTTCGTATAGAGGAGGAGGAGAAGAGGAAGAAGCAGAGATGTATGTGTGTGTGTGTTGAAGAGAGATAATTTTGCGCAACCAAACGTATTTCGACCAAACAAGAATAATTTGACTAGAACGAACCCTACAAGCGAACAGAAATAATAGTAATCACATCACAAGAAGGAAAAACAGCAACAACAACAAAAAAGAAAAATGAAATAATTAACAGAGAAATAATTATAGTAAATAATACGCGGCGAGTGTGTAAATATATAAATAATTGGAGAAGGACGCGTCGTGTCTTATCGTGTCGTCTATGTAGTATGCAGTAGTAGTGGTGATAGTTGGCGGTGGTGGTGGTAATCGAAAATTGCTTTTCCTCTTCACTTCATCACGATCGCATTAAAACGAAATACAATAAAAGACATTACCGAAAAACAACAACCTTCTCTCCTTCATCGAAATAGAGAATTAAACGAGAGAGTGAAAAAATGTGTCATATGCTGCCGATTTATCTGAAAAGAATAACAAACGATATTTTGAATTGCAATTCCTAATTACTAATTACTGATCTTACATACCTATGGGTTTTCTATCGTTTCAGTTTATCATCATCATCTTCGTCGTCGTCGTACACCCTCCTCCCGCTCACACTGCTGCTGCTGCTGCACCCACCTCCTCCTCCTCCTCCTCCTTCTACACGTCGTTCTTCTTCATCAGTTGCTGGTTGCGGTGATTTGGTGCGGGTTGTTGTTGGCCGCCGAAGAGGACGAATGTTTGCACTGTTCGGGGATTTCACCGCACTCTCTCCGCCGCAGCTTGGAGTAGCAGGAGGTACACACGCGCACCGGGTCGTACAGTTGTTCGGATGGGAGAGGAGTGCTGTTCTCGGAGCAGTCCGCGCAGAAGATGCGACCGCAATTTCTAGTTTTTACATTAGAATTAGTGTGTGTGTGAGCGTGTACGGGTGGTATCGTTTTTGTCGTGTTTACCTGCAGTGGTGCTTCCTTCGACCCAACCAAAAGACTGTGCTACACCCGGTGCACCTGGAGACGGCATGATCCGGCACCCACAACGTGGGAATTCCCTCGAGCAACGACGGACCCTCCTCCACCGCCTCCCACGACATGTCCGATCGAAGAGACTCGACCGCCGATGCCTGCCCCTCGCCAGCGCTGCACACCGACTCCACAACTGAACTCTGCAACACCAGAACAACAACACCATACGGATCCGTTGTAAATATTAAACGAAACCACAACAAATCAAAATACAACAAAGACACACACACAAAAAAACAAGATTCAAACACACACGCAGTCGAAACGCAAACAAAAGTTAACAAGAACATCGATCGGGTCAGTTGGAGGTGGAGTGAGAGAGGTCGTTGATTTAAGTAGCGCCTCGGGTTATATGCACACACTTTAAGCGACGAATGATGGACATGTGGGAGGAGGTAGAGGTTGCAGTGGATATTAATGATGGTGATGTTGGAAATGATGGTGATGGTAGAGGTGGTGGTGGTGCACACTTGCAACTGACCGACTGAGGCGGAGACAGCAACTGCAACGGAGACGACCTCTCTGCCTCATCGCACGCCGCCTAAACCAAAACGATGAGCAAGAAAGAAAGAAAAAAAAAGGAATCGTTGACCCCAAACCAACCAACCAACCAACCAATGAAGAAAACCAAAAACCCATCCCACCCTCAAAACCCTTCGTAAGATGATCTACCTCCACGAGTCTTGTGCGACCCCCCCACATATATGTAGGTGTAGGAACTACTCACCGTTTCATCGTTTTTATCCGCTTCGTTGTGACTGCACTTGTGACAGACTTGCTTGATGAGCGCCTGCCTGTACGTGTGCAATTCCCTCTGCAGGGCTTCAACTTTTCTCTGCAAAAAACATAATTATTAACTATAAACGTTTGATGCTGCCGGCTACTGACCCTGTTCTCCTCCATGATCTGTTTGAGACGTTCCTGCACGTCCGATTTGAGCGGCATAAGACCGTCGTCGTCTAGGATGGTGCTGCTGTGGTACTTGGGTGGACTGTTGTTGCAGTAAAGGAAACTGTCCCAACCGTTGGCGCTGGGTGTGCGCGAATACTGAGGCGGCGTCGGATATCTGCTGGACGTCCTTTCGCTAACGACGCTACCTCCTCCTCCGTTCTGCTGTTGCTGTTGTTGTTGCAAGTGCTGGTCGTGGGAGTGACTTGAATTCAACACTTTGTATGTTTACTTTTTATCGAAACGAGGTGGTGAAACTCTGTTTACCTGTGCTTGCCGTGGACGAATTTGCTGCGATGAGCGCACATCTTGTAAGAGTCGCTGTTGCTTCCGCCGCCGCCGCCACCGTCACACGAAGGCAGATCGGCGCTGACCACCTTCTCGAAACCGTTCAATTCCTTGGAAGACGTGCTGAAAATTAACGAAAACATTAAGCATATTGTTGCATCCGACCGGGGAACTTTCTTCTTACCTTCCTCCAACGTTGTTATCGGAGACGAGCGTTTCGGTGCTCGTGTCCACAGAGTTGTCCGTCAATCTTCTGACGCCGCCTGCTTCGCCTATCACTGTGACGATATTGTCGGACCTACTCTCACTGCTCGGCTCCGTGTCCGAATCGACGGAATCCGCGTCCTTCGTTGACCGTCCGTTCCCATTGACGATGACATCTCCGACGCTCTTGTCCAAGCAAACGCTGAACATCAGTTCGCCACCTCCAGTGTCTGCAGCCCCGCAACCGTCCAATCCTCCATCAGCCTCATCATCATCCAAGGTACGATTACATTGTTTACTTTTAAAGTCTATCGCCAGTACAGCGCTATCACACTTGGCATCTGCAGCAACACTGCCACCGTCAATCGAATCACCTCCGTTCGTCAATCTGCTCCTCCTCATTTGTTGTTGTTGCTGCTGCTGTTCCACTTTGCTCATCTTACTCTCGACTACAATTTATAATACAATTCGTAATTCCAATAGTTCACTTCACCTAATCGGCTTACCATTGTTACAATTGACGCAAGTGTTGTCGTCGTCGTCGTCTTCATCAGTCTTTTCTATCACAAGATTGGTAGCATCTAGTAGATGCTTCGGTTTCTGTTGTCCGGCGACAGTCGGCTCATCTCGTCGGGCGTTCTTATTATAAATGCAATCGCTTTTGCAGTCGTCACCCTCGAGTTCACATAAAAAATCGGTGTCGCAGTCTTTGGAGTTACCATCGCCGTTTAGGACGACCGCAGAGTCCGCGTCCAATTTGTGTCCGTTAGTTTTTCTGCAAAAAATACCAGGAATAAAACTTTTTTTGTAACGATTATGATGATGATGCGTACATGGCCTCCACTATGACGCTAGGGTCGCTGCATCTGCGCACGTGTGTTCCACTCCCGGACGCCTGAAGAAGGTCCCCATATGATCGCGTCTTGGTCATTTGCTGCTGCTGCTGTTGTTGTTGTTGTTGCTGCTGCTTCTGCTGCTGTTGATTATTCTGCTGGGAGACGACGTCACCGTTCGGTTGAGAGCCGCCGCCGCCGTCGCTACCGTTTGTTGTTGATCCGTTCTGCATTTCCATCGAGCCCAGGTACACCTCCGACCACATCTTCAGGTCACGCACCTGGTACTTCGGCCAAAGCACAGTGGACGTTGACTGCGGCGCGTACAGGTGATTTTTGTAGTCCACGTTGCTGAGGAACGTCCAGACGGATAAGGTCGTATCGTAGATGCGCTCCCGTTCCATCTTCGTGTTGCAGAGGAAGGTGCCGAAGAGGTTCGAGAACACGTGTTGAGCCAATTTCACCAGGTAAGTGTGCGACATCTCGAAGTCGCACGGAAATTGATGGATCAGCTGATGGACGCAGTCGAGCCACTGCAGGAAGACCGGACATCTTTCGTTCAGATCATCGCTTCCGGTTGCGTGACCGCAACGGTCCGCGAACTTGTGCCCAAAAGACAGCCACTCTCTCTCGATCAGTACTCTGAAGCCGTCGAATGTACGATAAAACGGATCCAAGAGGATCTCTCCGAGCGCGACGATCTGCGGAGTTCGATCCCAACCGTCCGAGCAATGGACGAGCACCGGTCGAGCGTCCCTCTCCACCGCTGTAACCAGAGTCACCGCCGCCCTGAACAGACCGGACATGTTGTGGAGCCAGCGCGTTCCTTCCAGCTGACTGAACCAACTTTCAAAAGAAATGAGATCATTAGGAATCTTTAATAGACACGCACGCATTGATAACACTCACTTGGGTTGATCAGATGAGGATGCGCACAGTTGTCGCAGCGAATGGAAACTCTTCCTTATGGTGTGAATGTTTGCCAAATTCATGAACTGTATGTCGCCACTCGGATAATACTCTGGACACTCGCAGCCGCCGCCTCTCGCTCTGTTCGCAACCGCCGTTGTATACGACCGGGCGTCCATGATCAGTACTTTCTGTATTCAACAACAACAACATAACAACAACATAAATATAATTTTTAATCGACAGACGAACCTTCCTTTCTGTAATCTCGATGTCACTTTGGATGTGCGTAGATTCGTCGATGCTCGAATTTGCCGATGCAGGCGAATGCGACACGTAGAGGGTGTGCGGCCCTCGGTCCTGCGTGCACGCCTCCGAAATAGCCTTTATCAGATCCTCATCTTCGGCCGACCTCCAACCTAACCATCCGACCTCCGGTTGACTGCAGCGTGCAATCACCGCCCCGTTCCCCACATGTCTAACACGAAAAGAACGAACAGAATAATAATAAGAAGAACGACGTTGCAATCGAGATGATTAATTACCTCCAGACGACTGCTGGTATCCTGCGGGAGCTGCGGAACTTGGCGACCGTCTCCAGTACCTCGTCCGTTATATAGGCGGGCACCAGGATGTTCGGCGGATAGCTGCTGCACAGCTTGTAGTTCTTGTTCACCGAACTTATGCGCCAAGTGCCGTGCAGGTTGAATTTCAATCGCTCCACCTGAACACATTGAATACATTGATAATCGTTATATAGTTTGATTGGTTTGATTATTATTATTATTACCTCCGCGTTGAAACTTCTCTCGTCGTGGAGCAAATCGTGCTGCGTATCGAGGCGACTCCCCACCGTATGCATCGGATCCTCCTTGCTCCAAACGAAATAGAAGAACGCGAACAGCTCCTCCAGGTGGGTGGGCGGGGCGAACGCTTTGGTCAGACGACTGCACCAATCGCTGCACGTCTCGTTATTGTCGAATGTTAGCTTATAGGTCCTCGCATCTTTGCAGCCGATGTGCAAATAGAACAGATCCCTCTGCTCCGCCACCTCCAGCAGACCCAGAGGTACGTGATGCTGCGTTTCGCACAGCTGCAGAAACAGACGATAATTGGTGAGCACCACCGAACCGTACACAGAGTGACCCGAGTGGACGATTCCCTCCCCGTAGAGAAGCTGGAACGGCGGTGGGGCACCCGTGTTATCGCCCCCCGTCGGTAACGGGTACATCTGTAGCTGGCTCACGTGCAGCATCGAATTCGGTTGCTCCGAACTGTTCTCCATCATCCTTTTGCTCTCTTCTACGTCGTCAACACAACCACCACCACTTCGTCGTCCTTCTCTTCCTCTTCCTCCTCCTCCTCCTAATCCTTCTTCGCTAGACCGAATCGAACACTGTCAAAAATGATAGTTCAATCAACAAACAACAATAACAAAACCACACCGGCGTTGACGTGCAAACTGTCAAACATCTGTCAAAATTTGCTGTAGCAGCAGCAGCACCGTCAACAAATATACGAAACAACAAACAAATAGAAACGTACAGTATGTTTTATGAGATTAGATTAGGCGACGAGGCGATTGGAAACGATATCGCTCGCCTGCCTGCCTTTGCCTGCCTTCTTGTCTTCCTTCCTTATCTTATACGTCTATATAGATAATAGAGTGGCGAACGGATATCGAAAGATGCGCGCACGAGTGAAAGGGAATTGAATGAATATGAATGCGATAGACGTGCACGAGAGAGAGATGGGAACACACGAAAAACAAAAACAAACATCGAAACATGGCCTAACCTTGAAATTTATTGACATTTATAGCAGCGGCTACATTTGACACTTTTACGAAACAATAGAATGTCGAATTGGCATTATGTAAACGACTTTGGATCGACAAATTATTATTATTATTATCATTGTATTTCAGCTGCAGGCGTTGCTAATAGCAACGTAATAATATAGGAATGTCGGGCGTTGTTTTTGTTGCACAGTGTGTGTCGAGTTTGGCCCCAATATTTCGGGTTGGGGGGGGGGAGGGGGAGTTGGTGTAAACAGTCGGTAACTATTACTGCTACTACTACTGACTACTACTAGAGAAAGTTGCAACTTACGAAACGTCCTATCCCGTTTTCGTTGTAGTTGTTGTTGCTACTGCTGCTACTACTCCTCATCGGAACATGACCTCAACACGACTGTGTGCAGAGAAGCAGTTGTGTGTTTCACAGCTGCCACAGCCGCAGTCGATGAACGACGGAAATCAAAATGAAGCAAGCGACCAATGGGTGAAACAGAAGAAAAAAAACAACAAAACAATAACAACAAAAAAACTCTGCCCGCAACAGCAGCAGATATTATATGCATATGCACTTTTAGGATTCGAACTCTGAGATGGGAACGCGCAGAAACGACCTTGGGACAACAAAATGGTTGACAATGACGTTGCTTGGAGGGGTCGGGATTTTAACTGTGCGAATGCATTTCATTTGGAGAAGGTGGCCGACGTCAAATTTGGTTGCATACACACTGCAATTGCATGCATGCACGTAATAATAGAAGTCATTACAATTATTTGTACATTCATGTATATAGGTAAAGTAAATAAAAATTATGATTAAAAAAATCCGTTCACATTGGTCTACTAATCAGTAACGTCCAATATTAATATGTAGATTTGGTTGCCAATCCATCATGACGATATTTTATAATCATTACAAGTTAGAAGTTTAAATAATAGAAGAAGAAAAACGTATCTCTTTATTTCACTTTAATAATATAAACTCCTTCTTAATTGCAAAATAAATATTTAGTGGAACAACAAAAAAAAAAAACACTATATATAAATAGAGATATATATATATATATATGTAATATAAAAAAGAAAACAGAAACGAGACTTTCCCACTCGCATGTTACGAAACGAAACATTAATTAAAATAATTCATAATTATAATGTAAGAAAATGTACATGTACAGTTTGAATATATAGAATGTGGGGAGGGAGGGGTGGACAGGGCAGAGGATAGGGTTGTGGTGATGGTGTTGTTCGGGATGGATGGATGAATGGATGACAGCCTATGTGGTGGATGCATCCTTAACAATGGCAGTCTCTGAAGTAGTACTATCACTGTTCACATCACTGCCCGAAGCACCTTCAACAGGTTCAGAGGTGCTCTTGATGATGGGACAGGACTGAACGTATTGGCCATCTACCAAATTCAGTCGTAGCTCTGCAAAAAAAAACAATGTGATCAGTCAGTCAGTCAGCAAGGTGATTGTGATGATGATGATTATATAAAACACTCACCACCATCATCCTCATCATCATTGGCATCTTCATCAGCAGAGTCGAAGAAGAAATCCAGATTGTTTCCTCCATCGTACGCGTAGCCCTGGTTCCTATCGTCGACAATGTCGTAGTCGTGGTCGTCGACGCTCTGATCATCATCATCATCATCGGTGTCCAGATAATCATCACCGCCGCCGTTCTCGTCGTCGTCGTCCTCATCATCATCATCATCAACCTCATCGATGTCCAGATCGCCGCGGAACGTATTGTAAACGGGATCGCCGTTGATGTCGTCTATATCGCTGTCCTCGATGCTGGCCAACCAGAAACCACCGAGACCACCACCGCCGACACCTATGCCACCCTCGTCCCCCGAATCGTACTCCAGCTCATCGCTCGAGTGCTCCACTTTATTGGGATTGCCGAGGAAATGCTCACCTTCCAGACCCATGATCAATGAAGTGGATGAAGAAGAAAAAACACTGAATCTGATCTGAACTTCTTTTTTCTTCTTCCACAAAAAACTTTAAAAAAGTTGCCTCCTCCTGCTTCTTCACTTCCTCTTCCACCTTGCAAGAGACAGAAGGGGACTGCAACAACAACAACAACAAACAATAAGAAATATAATATTCAACACTTCTTTCAAATGCTCACTTTTCAAATTAATCGTTTGCTGCGATTCTTTCTTCTACTCGATACTCTCGATGTACTCTAACTGAAACAAAAGAGACACGAAAATGACAACATAACCTCGAATGTAGGAAATTTGAATTTGCACGGCATGAAACACCACCACCACCGCCGCCGTCGTTCTATTTATGCAGCTGCAACAGCAGCTGACGACAATATTTTACTAAATACAGCACGAATATAAATAAAAACATCTTACATCTCTCATTGCTCTACGTCTATCAAAATCACATCTATCTACCTATCTATATATGTATATATTATTATTATTACCCCATATTTTGCAAAGACATACACTGACTCGTAGCAGCAGCAACAAACAACTGCAAACTACCACCAACCAACTACCACTTTGCTCTGGCTAAAGACGACTTCACACCACAACAACAATAATAATAATAATTGAACCGAAACGAGAGAAAACTGTGTCGCATCGCACGAAACCATACGACTGTTGGTTGAACGCACAAAACGAACTGCTGCGAATCACCGCTTGATTGGTTGGTTGGGAATCTAAACCAATCTTGCAAACCAATACTGCCCTACCATTAACATCATCATGCCCGAAGCATCAATACGCACATTACTAACAAATGTATGCAACCAATTCATCACATCTGCAAATTAAAAGTCTAATTTATATGAATGCTTTGAGAAACAACCACTTACTAACATCACTTAATTTTCCATTACCGAAATTATACGCCCTTTCGAATTATTATTTTAACGTGTAATTTGAAAATTTCGAAATATCAAAAATATGAAAAAACATTTGGTGCGTGCGTCAAAATGTCAAAAGTTCTTTGGCGGCAGCATTCAAATTTCAAACATTCTACAGTTGTCATGGAAATAATAACTTAAAAAATAATAATAATAAAACAAAATAACGACTAAAGAAAAATTTCATTTGTATATTAAAAAATTGACAATAAATCATCCATATATATATAACATAGTGTGTTTCAGTTTTCATCTTCATTTCTTCCTTTCATTATTTCTTTCTTTCTATTTTCCGACAGTGTTGGCTCGAAAATACAAATAACATTTTTTCCAATGCACCCTAATACTTTCATAATTATTTACTTTATTATTATTATTATATTAAATTATTTATCATCATCATCATCATCTCCTACTTCCTCTTCTCACCTACGTCCCATCATTCAACATCATTATCATTTACTATTCATCATCATTTCCTCCTTTCACGTTCTACTTCTCCACGTACACACATATATTTATATATATATATATCATTAGTTAATATTATTTGCTTATAAATTTTCAGAGACACCGGATTACATTCAAAACCGATAATCTCCTGTCACTATTGCATAATGCCGCACACCAACCAACCAACCAACCAACAAGACGAGTAGTAGTCGTAGTAGTAGTAAGGCACCGAAAAATTGTTTACACAAACACGCCCACACACAACATTGAAATACATCAGAAAAAATGTATTCAATCCATGCGTCGTATAAACACACACGCACACACGTACGTACTCACATGCTGCGCACACAATCAAACAGACAGAGAGAGAGAGAGAGGCGTACGAGTGCGTATGTGTATGCATGTATGCAAGTACGTACCGTACCTACATGCGCGTGCTTATATATAAATATATGATTATTCAAAAAAATCACATTGGGAAAAATGATATTTAGTAATTTTTCTGTTTGCTTTTTTGTTTTGTTTTGTTTGTATGTTTATTTAGAGTAGTAATTGTTTTAATAAATTGGTGGCACTGTTGTTGTTGTTGTAGTAGTAGTAGTTGTTGTTGTTGTTGTTCGAGGAATATGTATCTGCAAACAAAGAGAGAACAGAAGGGAGAGCGTTAAGAATGATCTGCTTCTTTCTGATTTGCGAGATTGAGAGTTGACGAGGATGATTCGTGATGATGGTGGATGTTTGGTGTGGTGGGTCGATAGATGGATGGATGGCTACAAACGAACCGTTAAATTAGTCACTGCTGGCATCCGAGTCGGTCTCCTCCTCGGCATTTTGGAGCCACTCCACAAAGTTCTTCATTTGATCGACAAACATCATCTTGCCCTTCACGTTGAAATCCTGCTTGTACCATTTCAGGATGATCTGCTCGGAAATCACGTCCGTCTTGTAGAAAAGCATTATGATCTTCTGGAAGGCGCGCATGAACATCATGTTGGCGTAGCAGAACTCCTGCACTTTCAACAGAAGATTCAGCTCGGATTTGGTCGACTCGGCGAACTCTGCAAACAGACTCGTGTACTGCTTCAGGTGGCGCACAGCTTGATCGGTGACGAGTTCCTGAAAATCACACAAATATATATATATAATATATGTAACAACAAGTGGGTTCTATATTTACCTCTTTCTTGTTCCATTCGGGAATATCCATGACCGTTGTCCACACGATGCAGACCGTCTCGTGGTCCTGGATGCTTTCCTTGCTGGAAAAGTCTCGCAGCTCGATGATGATGTCGCGCTGCGTCTTGCCCTCGGCCAGACCGTCGGCGAGCATCGACTGCAGCTCCTTCTTCGCCTGCTGCTGGTGCTGGTCGTTGTAGAGCTTGAGTATCTCGTCGAGGCCGTTCTCCTGGAAGGCGGTGCGGAAGTAGGTGTGCGATTGCTTGCTGTCCGGCACGAAGCTCATCAGATGCGACTCGATGTTCGATTTCTTGATGGCCGAATGCAAAGACATCACGCCCTTGTCCTGACGCCACCACTTGAACACGTCGATGAGGAAATCGAGGGCCAGATGGTCCTTCACCAGATGGGCGTTGTTCAATGCGAGCACAGCGTTGAATGGAACGCTTCCGTTCGAGATCCACAGTGAGACCATCACGGACAGCTTCTTTCTATCGACCGGTGAAAAATACTTGACGTACAGGAGGATCTTCTTGATCTCGTCTTGGAAGAGTTTCTCGAGATACTTGTATCGGCGCATCAGTTTGATAAAAACCTGTTCCCAGCTCTTCATCGCCTCTATGTTGATGTCGTCGGGACTGTTGAAGATGCATGCGTCCGTCTGGTACGGACCTTCGCCCTCCTGCGATAGCGTGCCGCCCGGCACAAGAATGCCACCGGCGATGAGCACATCGAACAGACTCTCGCCATACCGTCGGTAATCTAATTTGTTGCCCGCACCGTCCAGATACCGCGAAATCGCTTCAAAGTCGTTAGAACATTTATCGAGTCCAGAGATTATTGCATCCCTAAACCCAAATGGATCATATCTCTCCTTTTCATCTATTCAATCCGATGATGAAGACGACGACGACGAGACGGCAATCGACACGCGCACACACACAACAATGACAAAAGAGTGAGTGATTGAGTGATAGAGGGAGGAAGGAGAGAGAAAAAAAACAGAAAAAAAAACAATAGATTAATAACAGAATCTTCAAGAACAATGCCACAAGAAATAATAAGGATCAGCGATTGGTTAGGTTAGGCAAAAAAGCCTCCCATTCCTCAAGACAATCCTTCGATACTAATCAATTGAGAAACAAATTCAAAACATGTGTCTATTAAAAAAAAATAAAATGCAATTCAATACTGTTCCAACTCTGATGGTATCTGATCTATAGTCGAGACAAACAGAACCCAGTACGAGCTGCAAAGCATTCTATCCCAGACTGCACACAGAACCATGGGCATCAAGAAGCCAACATGTCCACAAATGGTGCACCTGGGTTGGCAAACTATTTGTACTTTCGTTTCATGACAGCCCAAATTTAGGTTAAAATCAGTTATAAATAAATGCAAAGAAATCAAGAGACATTATATATACTCGGACACAGATTGTTTTTCCAAAAGTCATTTCATAATCACAACTGTGAACAGTTGTGATTACTAATGCGGATGATTCATTGTTTCTCAATTGATAGCTGATAATGGCGCAATAGTAGTAATAGTGTAATAATAATAATAATAATGCAATGATTGATTATCTCACCTCTTTTTCTGGTCTTGATGCGTTGACCGGACAAAACTGGTTTTTCTACCTTTTGACTCATACAAAAATTTCTGAAAAGAAAAACAAAAGAAACATCAAATTAACTGCACATGGTACTAGATAAAAAAAGGAGGAGGAATATAACAATGAAAGCTTACACGATCAACCAAAATAAGCTCGAATCAACGGACGTACCGACAGATTTAGTGAAACGCGAGATATTTGAGGAGAGTGAATTTAGCAACAGGCTAAAACACACACAAAAACAAACACGAAATTCCCCTAGTCGCGAAAACATTTAACGATTTATAATTATTATTACAAAAATAAATAAATAGAGGAGCCAACATATCTGTTGCGGAACGATGCAAGAAAAGCTTAATAAGTCATGCCCCGGCAATGGTTATTGAAATCATATCTGGTACAAATGGTACAAAAAAAAGAAAGAGAGGAAGAAGAGGTTGAAACGTAGAAATTAATGACGGAAAAGAAGAAAAAGAAAAATGGATACGCGTGCATGACGATACACAAGGTTGCAAGCTCAAGAGAAGGAAGGAAAGAACGGTGGAGGCGGCAAAAGAATCGAGCAAGAGAGAGAAAGAGAGAGAGGAATGAATGACAGCACGGCATTTTCTTGGAAGCGCGACGACAAAGGAGAGGAGGATAACGGAGAGTCGTCATAAAATGTATTTGGTGCCGGGTCAACAAACTTTATATTACAACAACGCATTTACTGATATTTCGGAAATTCCACAGGAAAAAACTGTATTGAAGAAAAATGGAGCGGAGCGGAATGGGGAAAAAAAGAGAGAGAGAGGAGGATGGCAAATGGGTGCCGCTGGGAGAGAAAATAAAATACTAAAAGAAAATGGGGAAACAACTGTACAAATGCGACAAAGAATGTTGCTATTGTTGATGATGATGGAGGAGGCTATGAAAACGAAATTTTGTTGGTAACACGTTGGATCCGTTGCGTGCATACAGGCATGCATGGCGGCGACCGGCCGACCGCGAGACATTTTAAGACCGTCCAGGTCTGCCATCGTTACGGTTGCAAACGATAGCCGAAATTAATGGACTGTTGTTGCAGCAATTCCGCGGTGCACACACAAAAAAAAGCAAAAACCAGCAGCAAAAAATATATATACAAAAAGAAAGAAGTAGAAATATACTCACGTTTATACTGTTTCAAAAAAAGCACCTCAACACGAGCTCACGACCTTACGACGACGATTCGCAGACTGAACGATGATAATAAAGAGCGCTGCCGACTGGTGGTGGTGCTTGTTTCCTTCTCTGATCCCCTACCTATTATTGCTCGCTCTTTCCTTCTCTTTCTCTTTTATTTTCTATACTCGCTTGCTCGCTCGCTCTCTTGCTCACACGCTTCTTCTTCTGCTTGTGCACACTACTTTCTCACCGGATGATGATGATGCCGAATGCGATGACAGCGCCGCCGTGGTATGCGTCTGCGCAATGAGCAGAACGAGGAATCGATGCGCGTTCTATTGGTCGAACTGTGGCTAGCGGAGATTAGCGGAGGAAGAGAGTGCGCGCGATTTTTAAAATAATTCGTACGAAGACTGGACGATTTTGCTTCGACCACGGAAAATGGAATGAATCTGCAAACGGGAATAACGGCCGAACGTTACTTCTGATGGACGGACGCCTCTATTGTCGAACAACAACAACAAAAAAAGAAGAGAAAAAAAAAAACGAAGAAGGGGGAAAATAAATAAAGCGGTGCACTGACGGAGAGAGAGGAAAAAAAAAAGAAAGAAAATACATGTGACGGTCGCCACCTGGGATACGCACGTCCTGAGCGCTGCCAACCGCACGAACGAGAAAATTACCAAAACAAACAAAAATCCCCCAGTAAAATCACTGGATATTTTTTTCTGAGCGAAATTTAAATTGGATTATGCAAAATTAATGAAATAGAGGAATTAGAAAATCAATTGTCGCTTCGTTCAGTCTGAAAATAATATAATAGTATAATAGCGTAAAGTACAGGGGGAAGCTGATATATGCAAAGTCTCTATTTGTCTTTGAGAGTTCGCAAACCGCTGCTCAGGTGTTTCTTCTTATCGTCGTCGTCGCTGAAGAACTCGTCCAAATCGTCGGAGAGCAGAGGGTTCACCGAGGGCTTCTTCTGGCCCAGCTTCTCGTTCTTGATCTTCAGCTCGGACATGTCGGGCATGCTACACGGCTCTGCGATGGAGGCGTTCGCTGCGGCGTTACCTTGCACCTTTGAGTAGATGGTCATCGCCTGAGAAATACAAATAATACTCAGATGGTTAGATGAAAATTGCAATTGCACAATTGCATACCTGTGCGACCAGACTTGAAATGTCGCCAGCGTTTGATGGAAGTATGAGGGTGTTGTTTGTGCGAGCCAACTTGTTGAAGGCGTTCACGTACTGCTCGGCGATGCTCAAAGAGGCTGCGTTCGGTCCTAGCCTCTCTCCCAGCGCACCCGCCACCAATCTCAGACCGCCGGAGCGCGCCTCAGCGATCGCCAGCATCGCCGTCGCCTCACCGGCCGCCNNNNTTGATATCCGCCTCCCTGACACCCTCCGACTCCAGGATGGCCGCCCTCTTCTTTCGCTCCGCCTCAACCTGCATTTGCATTGCCTCCTGCACCCTCGACGGCAGCTTTATATCACCTGTGCAAACATTTCATTTCATATGATTTAGTAATTAAGCAACGTGTACGTGTAGAATAGAAGCGACGCACGTATCTCGTAACGAAGGCACGTTATGCCCCAGGCCTCGCTCGCCTTGTTTATGGAATCGACGATGGAAACGTTCAGATTCTCCCTCTCCCTGAACACCTTGTCCAGCGATATCTTTCCCAGCTCCGATCTCATCGTCGTCTGAGCCAACTGTGTTATAGCGAACTCCGGGTCTTCGACGCCGTAACTGGCCAAGTACGCATCCACGATTCTCAGATAAAGTACACCGTCGATATTCAGCGTCACGTTGTCGGAGGTGATGGCGCTCTGCTTCGGCACATCGATTGCAATTTCCTTCAGGCTCTGCACATACTTGACCCTATCGATAACAGGGATCAGGATGTTCAGACCAGGCTCCAGGATCCTATGAAACTTGCCCATCCTCTCCACAATCCATGCCTGCAACATCAATCAAAGCAGCAACATTTAAGATAATGTATCTGCATTGTACGCAGTGAACCTCGTACCTCTTGCTGTGGCACGAACATCACTACTGTGTTTATTGGAGTGGAAGATCTGTGTCGGAGAGCCAACATTTGAAGACTCTTGTTGGCTGGATGGCTGCGACTCTGCAAATACCATCAAAGACATTTCATTCAACTGAAAACACACGCATCTTTCCACTCTCACCCGCAACACTCCAGCGAGGAAACGCGCGTTCGAGAACATCCTGTGCTAATTAATTTCCAATGAGAGCATGTATTCCATGTATTTTCTATACAAACAAGAAACAAATTTTTCCCGATATACAAGATAAAAACCTAACCTAACCGGTAACTGTGACAGTAGCAATTTTAGGAATGTCTTATTAGGCCAACCCTTTTACCCTGCAGCACCCGACAGTTGCATACGATTATAAATTCGAATCACTCTGTTACCGGGTATCGACGACGCATGGTAACGCGCAAACAAACATTCAAACAAAGTCAGAACGTTCAGAGATGATCTCCAGTTTCGTTTCGCAAGCAAATAAGCTAAAGAACGTGCAGATATACCTGGAGCACTCCCTCAAGAACTGCGGCGCTTCCTTCGACGATGATAACTCTATATGCCACCTCCGCGAGCTGCTCTCATCGGATCGGTAAATACAAACAACACAATGTCCATATCCAATCCAAAGTATTGTTGTATACATGTTTTCGTTTGTTTCAACAGTTTTAAGGAGTGTCACGATTTTCGCCTCTCGATATTCAATATCGCCGAGTCGCTGAACTCGCTCAAGTTGGAAGTGTTCAATGGTAAAACTCTCGGTGAGTTTTTCTTTTTAAAACTTTGCACGTGCAAATTAATTCAATTAATTTACTGTTTACAAAAGATTTGAAGCAATTGAAAGCGGACCTGATAAGTATCCAGGAGCGATCGAGGACGGCGAATGCGGAGGCCGTAACGAAGTTGCGTCTGCTTTCCGAGCAGGAAAACATGCTCACCGAGGAGGTTTTCAGTCTGCAACAGCGGATGTGCGAATGGAGCAACAACAGGAATGAACATCAAGTGCCAAAGTTGGAAAAGAAGAAGCCAATTAAAGAAGCATCTGCAAAGGTACCCGCAAAGGAAGTGCAAACTTTTGCAAACTTCTTGCAGAAGAGTGGAGGACACGAGAACGGATGGCGGGTCAAGGATCATAGCGTATTCTTGAAATTGCGCAAGAAGTACAGAGAACGGGGAAAAATGATTGCAGCGGTACGCTCAATATTTCCAGGTAAACGTCGTTTACATCTTTTTAAAAAAATGTATATATATATTCAATTATTTTTGGAGATATGAGCGAACGCGACGTGGAAGAGCACGAAGAATGGTATCTGCAGTACAGCAAGTTGCAGAGCGAACAAAACGACGCTCTAAAACGATGGAAAGAGGAGCAACAAAATTGTCGATTGGCGAAAGAAGAGGATGTGGTTGTTGTTAGCGAAAAATCGAGGAAAGCGATCGTTCCTCTTGACGATCCGAGAGATGTCAAAGAGCGATTGCTTTTGTGGAAGGTTAATTGATGAATCAATTTTTAAAACATTCACTAATTCATATATATTTATATGTGGCAGGAGGAGAAGAAGAGGCGTCAATTGGATCAGTTGCAATTGAGGAACGATCTGGACGAGCGATTGAGGCAGATGGAAAACAGCAAGAAGATAAAATGTGAGGAGGCTAAATTGGAAATAGCCAAATGGAAACGAGAAAAGGAATTGCAGACGAATCGCGACGCGCATCTGAAAATTGTAGAGAAACAGCGGATAGAGGATCTCAGGTGCGATACAACTCACCCGAAATAGTTGATGTGTGTGTGTCAATGATTTTAGTTTTGTAGATTGATGGATGGCAAGAGTTTGATCAAACAGTTTCAGAGTCAGGATGAAGTGTTTTTAAGGAGACGGTTGGCTTTGAGGGAAGAGAAAAAAGCAGCTGGTAGGGCGACGAGTTGCGAAAGGAAGGTAACGTCTGCAGCCCACAGGAATCCGGAAAGGCTGCTGCAGCCGACGAAGCAATGGTTGTCGCGTTTCTCCAAGTCTGCGGACGCTCAAAATAATCGAGGCAAATTCTGGAATGTGCCAGAGAAAAATTGTAAGCTGTAAGTGTTCGCAACTAGCAGTTATTACTCAATTCATTGTTGCAAATTTATTGTTTTTTTGTTTGTTTGTTCGATAGGGGAGTACCGGAATGGAGGAAACAGATGCGAATTCAATAGCAATACGTATTTGCTTCCGTAACTTATTTATAGATAACTTATTTTATAATTTCTTATGTTCGTTGTTCACGAAAACAACGAGTGGACGAAGTGGTTTTGTAGTGGTAGTGCGTTATCACACCTACCATTTCCTATTCACCAATGGACGATCGGAAGGACTCAGTTTGCTGTCATCGAATTGACCCAGGTGAATCTGAAAGAAACGAAGAGAAATGAGCGAGTTGCTGCCATTTGGGCGCGTGGCTAGTGGTGTGTGTGTGTACCTGCAGGTGTAAGTTGACGTCGACGTTGCGGCTGAGATAAGGGAAGTTCCCGCCCGTCTTCAAGTGTCCCAGCTTGGCGTGCGGATAGCATTTTTGCATCTCGTCGCGCACCGCGTGGCAAAGTGCGCTCTTGTCGAAGACGTCGACGATGGTGATGGGAATCTGCGACAGCTTGTGCGCCTCCACGTATCCCCGAACGCAGTTTAGAGTGAGACGGCTCGCCAGTTCCACCTGCGAAAGACTCTCCAACTGTGACGAATGATATTGTTATTTGTGATGCGTCGTGTGTTGTTTCGTTTTTCTCACCCTCTCGACCATAAAGTCGATGGCTTCGACCATATCGGGATCGACCTTTTCCGCGGTAAAGTTGCCCATGACCATGTGCTTGAGGGCAACTGAAGGCATAATCCAGAAGAGCGAAGCCGAAGAATGATTGTTGAAGATGGACGTATCGTTGAAGGTGTTGCACAGGATGAGCGAAGCGACCCTTGGGCAGTTGTGCGTGTACTCGGCGAACTTTTGCGCCAGGTATCCTCCTGAACATCGAAATCACCAACATCATCATCATCATTACACGCATAAGATGTTGCTTACCGAGAGAGGCTCCGAAGATATGGACTTTGTCCAGATTGAGGTAATCCATCAACTTTTTAAAATCCTCGCACCAATCGCGAACGTTCCAACAGACCGGACTCTCCACCGAGATCACCCTGACGCCCTTCGCAGACAACGCCAGCGCCTGCTTGAAGAAGACGTCCGCCGTCCCTGATGCCGGCGGTAAACACACCAGCGGGCATTTCACTTTTTTCGGACCGCAATCGAAAATTCGCCAATCCTGAAACAACAACAACAGCAACAACAACAACTCATTATTTTCTGTTATCTATATCTATATATATGTCAACAAACCTTTGAAGACTTTGAGTCCACTGCAATCCTCCTTAACGGCACACTGCTGCGGAAGCTCAGGTACTCCTGGGATTGGGAGAGTTCACTAAGAAAACTCATTGTTCTGTATCAGGGAGAGTGCAGAAACGCAAGGGCAAGGTTTCCTTCCAGTTGAAGAGCAGTCCATAACAGTGATGAAGAACTATATGTTTTCTCTTTGCTTGCTGTGCAATCAGCTGATAATGGAATTACAACCAATAGTACAGAATGCTGATAACCTCTTATCAGTTGTTTATTATCACTTGTTTATTATGCCCCACCGGTCCAATTCGTCCGCAACCAGTCGTAACGGGCACAAACATCATTATCAATAAACAAAAGAGAACAAACTAAAATGAACCTTGCCTTCTTCTTCTTCTTCTTCTTATTCCTTTAACTCGAATGCATTGTACACATAATATTGTGTACTCAAATTAATTGCTCATAAAGAAAACAACAGATTAATACGTTTATCGAAATTGTATTCGTCAATTTCCATCATCATCAACATCATCGTCGTTTCGCACAAATACATAATTAAACCTCGCGTTGCGTTTGACAGCAGCATGATTACGTCAAAAAATGGAATTTATTCTTTCTTTTTTAGGTTAGGTATATTTTGTTTGAATAATTTGTTTGGAAGAGAGGTTAGAGCTGAGCTGAGCGATGAGGACTTTCGCAGCTCTTCTGGCGGCCCGGGGGGCGCGCAAAGAGACGTCCGTTCCGTATCAGGAGATTCTGCCGTTGAAGCTGAAGCAGAGAGTCTCGGGCAAGGGGGACAACTCGTCGGACGTGTGCTGCATCCAGGAGATGAGCTTGATGCTGGCCTGCTTCAAGCTGAACGAGTTCGATCAGAGTCTGTGCTCGAAGGAGGTGCAGAACTTTTCCAAATGCTACCAGGGACATTTGCAGACGAAGCAGAAACAGAAGGAGATGGACGAGAAGGGAATCCTGCGGATGGGCGAAAGGAACCTCTCGCACAAGCAACTCAACAAGTACCTTAGAAAGTTCCCCAATATATAATTGTATTTGTACACGTATAAGTTGTAATTATATCTGTAGATAAAGCATAGTTTAATTTAATTTTTACATCTTTTTCTTTCTCTCTTTTTTTTTTGCATCTAAATATTATTGTTCGAAAAGGTTGCTTCATAGGGGGAAAGTGTATTATTCAAGTATTGCAACTAGAATAATAAACAAAACATTGCTGCAGATTTCTGAATATGGAGAGGGCAGGCAGGTAGGTAGGTAAATTGGAGTATTATTAGAGTAGTTTTGTTCTAAAATTAGTCGTATTATTCATCCTCTCGTAAACTTGCAAAGTCCATCTGTAACAGCAGTGGAATAGAAATAGAGCGGAAAAAGGCAAATATTTATGTTATGTCGGGGGACGCGGACTCATAATCTTCGATATAAATTTAGATGCGTGTATCATCAGCCCCAACAACATCATCATCGTGAAATGACTGAAATAGATTTTTCGGGAAGAACACTAGTATGTATAAATGCAAGAGCTGAGATTCCCTATGAACACAGTCTCTGCTTGATCTGCTTCTCTGCTTGATCTGTTACAATAATAAAACAGTAAAGGTGAGTTTCATAATGGAAACGTTTCATAATGTTAATTAATTATTTATGCAAAGATATGTCTTTGGTGCCAATGATGTTTCGCGATTGGTGGGATGATCTGGAGACTTCGCGTCCGTCGCGTCTCCTGGACCAGCACTTCGGCACCGGTCTGAGGATGGACGACCTCCTGAACTCGATGTCGCTGCGCAACAGCCGTTACTACAGGCCGTGGCGTACGGTCACGGGCACGACAGCTTCTTCTGCTGCCGGACCCCTCGCCCGTCAAGACTCCGGCTCGACGATCGCCAACGACAAGGAAAAGTTCCAGGTCATCCTCGACGTGCAGCAGTTCTCGCCGTCCGAGCTCACCGTCAAGATCACGAACAACAGCATCGTCGTGGAGGGAAAGCACGAGGAGAAGCAGGACGAGCACGGCTTCATCTCGAGACACTTCGTGAGGCGTTACATGCTGCCCGCCGATCACGACGTCAATGATGTCGTCTCCTCTCTGTCCTCCGACGGAATATTGACGGTGACGGCGCCGAAGAGGACCCAGAAACCTGCTGCCGTCGATCGTGTCGTGCCGATTACCCAAACCGGTCCAGCCAAATCGACGGTCACAGAATCTGCCGCCGCCTCCTCCTCTTCATCCACCTGCCAACCCACCGTCGAACATCCACCCAATTAAATCCATCACCACAAACACCTCCTAAAATAGATTGATTCAATTATTTTTGTATTATTCAATAAATCAAACCAACGACATTCTTTTATTTCTTTTTTTTACCATTCATTTGTAGCGTCGTAAATAAATTAAAAATCTTAAATATTATCAACCATTTATTTTGAAATCTGTATATATTTCTATATGCTATGCTCTCTCTCTCTCTATATATATATATATATGCGTTGTTTACAAGACAACAAGAACAACAAAATAAAGTGATGTAATGATGCACTTGAACATTGCATCTCAATGTATCTTTCATTCATTTATTTTCAAGGTATGACCACATTATAAAATATACATGTTTAAATATATATATTATCCACTGTATTTATAAATAGATAGACAAGTCGAGAACATGCATATACGCAACAGTTAATATAATAAACGAATATTTATATGTATATTGGTTGGTTGATAGACGGCATAAATAAATATATATAAACAACAGTTGAGAGTGTAGTGGTAAGCACACTTCATTTTTCTCAGTTTCTCTTACTCACTTTGTTTTATTTGTCTTTATTTGTTTTATTTGTTGTTTTTCAACACATATTATATTCATATATCATTATAATCGGACAGAATAATACAATAGTAATAATAGAATCTTAGATTTTAGAAGTAACGTCCATATACAATATAATACTTAAAGTTAAGACACTTCAAAAACTGCACGCCCTCTCTTTCTCTCTCTCTCACACACATCGAATCATCATCATCTCATCCTTCTCGTATTTGTCCATAGGAAAAAAAAACATTGAAATAATCATAATATATATTATTAGATCGATCATCGATAATATTTAATACTATTGAATATTCTTTCATATTCATATGTACTAATAATAATAATAGTAATCACATTAAAAAAAGAAACATATATATATATATGTATGTATATATAATATAACAATCAATAAAAATTATAAAATAAATAACACTTTTAATATATATATATATGTATATATTGGGAGAGGTGTGTGGTTATACATACATATACATATATGTATGTATATTTGCTATCATCGTTATTTACTTTCCTCTCCTCTCTTCTCAATTCATTGTTTGATTAAAAGAGAAATGAAAAAAGAAAAATTAAATAAAAACGTGGAAATAAATAAATGTCCTATAATATCTCCTAGGTGAAACATTCACACGGAGAAAGAGAAAATATACACACAACGCGCGCGCGCGCGTTGCACCAATTGTATCGCTATTGGGTTATAAGAGCTCCGCCTGCTGCTCCTCCCTTCCTTTTCTTTTTCTTTTATACGTTGACTGATGTCTGGGCTTTACTCGCAAAATCAAATCAAATCAACGGAATTAAAGTTAGCGACAACAAACTGTTCGAATTGTTTTGTTCGAAATATACTATAGAAAGGAATGTGTGAATAATGTGCGCCACCCTGTAAATCATGTTTTTTTTCTTTAACTGTACACATAAAACATGAATGAAACTAACTAGTCAACCGAAACGACGACGGAAAAGAAAAAAATAAAACGGTATAGTCCTCTCATCCATCTTACCACAATTTTGATCGATACAACAATTATACATAATAATCAATAGCGATGATTCGATTAGACGATCAAAATCCATTCATCCATCCAATGATGGAACGATACAACACGACATACCTGTCGAGGAAACATCATCATCCATCTCCTTCCTGACAACAACAACAACCAATAGATTTACCTTTGACTTAAGCTTCCTTCTGTCTGTCCCTTCCTTTTTTCTTACATAGATAATAGCTGCAATAGTAGTACTAATGGTAATAGTATAATAGTGTTGGTGGTGGTGTTAGACGTTGAACCGTGTTTCGGATCCGTCGGCCAGCATCAGCGTGACTATCCTGTTGTTTATCCAGATGAGGCGGGCCAAACGCATGGGATTGAAACGGGAAACGTCGGCGATCGGCGCCGTGCTGTACGATTTGATGCAACGCGTCTGCGATTGTCCCAGACCGAACAGCATTCCTATCAGTCAACAGACAATCAATCAATCAATCGCAACACTTATTATCGACTGCTATATATTACCTGAACTCGTCTGCCAAAAGCACAGCTTGTTCTCGCCGCTCGAGTAGCTAACCAGAAATTTGCCGTCCGGATTGAAGGCGGCCGCAGTTATTGCAGAGGTGTGCGCGCTTATGACCGTGCACTTGCCCTGCCTCAGCTCGTACAGTGTCAACGTGCCGTTGTTGGCACCGACGGCGATTCTCCTCGTCAACTGGCAATGCGACACCTGGTTGAATCTGCAGACGACGGGGAAAACCTCCTGAAGACCCTTCGTCTTTAGGTGGCCCTGGTCGAGGCAATGCAAGATGATGTCCATCAGCTCGACGAGCAACTCGGACATTTCGTTCTGCATCTTTTCGATGAGCAGTTCGACGCCGCGCAGAATCTCCGGCTTGGCTTTCAGCAGAACAGTATTGTTCAGCGTCACGTTGATGGCCTGCGCGTTCTGCTGCATCGCATTGTATCGGGCGACCTCGCGAGCCATCGTCGTTATAAACGCGGCCGGCCTGCAACAAGTGTACATTCACAATTCATTCACTACCCATTGCTCTCGATCCGTCTGGACATTGCATCGACTTACCTGGCAGTCGCTATCAGGGTGAGGGCGTGTCGAGCGGTGCGGCACGAATCCGCTTGCGGCGTCAACGGCAATCCATACGTCATGCTTGGAACGAGCCGATCCGCCTCGGAGCACAACTCGAGCAGACCCAGAAGCACCTTGCTGATGTCCAGGTACGGTTCCCAGACGGTGAAACCGCGTCCGATCAAATCGATTGCCGCCCTCCGGAGGGGCGTGTGCGCTGGCATTTTGGGCGAGGGCGGGGCAAGCAACAGATGGGACAGAGCCATCGACGTGAGGCGGGCCAAATTGTTGTTGCCGATGCCAAAGCCGTCGACGAACGAACCTCGTCTTCGTTGATCGTCGCCGCCGCTCTGGCGTCTTTTGCTGTTGTTCGTATCGGTCGTTATGTCCTGTCCGAATTCGGCGCCGATCACGCCCAGCAAAACGACGGCCGTCGTCTGCTTCCGCTTCAGCTCGGCGAGGCTCGACGGTTTTCGCACTTGCTCCTCCTCTTCCTCCTCGTATTCGTCCTCCTGTGTACGAGAAATAATAATAATAATTGACATTATTTCGACGAATCGATGCAAAACTTACCACAGCTTCCGGCGTTCCGGGCGGATGCAGACCACCACCGCCGCCGCCGCCGCCACTACCTATTCCTCCTACACCACCAGCACCACCTCCAGAAACAATCATGCCACCGCCCCCGGAATTTACTGAGAGATGATTGTTCTGACCGGGCGTCGTGACCGCTTGCTGATTGATCGTCTCCGATTGTGTGTAGAGCGGCAGGTATTGGGACCAGGCGTCGACTAATGCCTTGCGTCCTTTCGTTCCCATCCGGCCGAGTTCGGCGAGGAGCAGAGCCTGCGCCGCCTCCCGCACCTCGACGCAATGATGCTGCCACCGTTTGGCCATCATCTCGACCTGCGGCCTCTTAAAGTTCTTCGCCCCGTTGCTGACGACCTTGTCGGGCAGCAGGACGCAGTGGAGGGTGGCGAGAAGCGACCAACCCTGCTTGATCTGAGCCTGCTGCTGCGTGTACATCTCCTCGTGCTCCTCGTCCGTTTTGCTCCAGTTGACGCGAGTGGACTGTCTGTGCAGCTTCCTGTTTCTCTCCTGTTCCGGCACGAACGTCGCGTTCGACATCGACATCAGCGTGTGGCTGAGCGCGATTATCGCCAGCAGATGATTGCTGGTCAGGGTGGTGCTGAGCTCCCAGTGAGTGCGCGACGTAAATACGCGCGTCTGTTCCTCCCTGAGTACCAGCTCCTCGGGCAGGCTGTCCATCAACGATTGAGAGTGGACATCGATCGTGGTCGTGGTGTTGCGAATGCTGTTCGGCTCGACGGGGATGGTGTTGTGCCAGGTGGGCAGGAACAGGGACATGTAATTGCCACGGCTGAGAACGCCGAACGAGAGCGGCACCATCGGCCGCAGCAGACCCAACTTCACCTGACACACTCTATCTAAATCATTGTCCATACCCCACGCGTGCAACAACGAGAGAAGAAGTTGCGCTATCTCCATCCCATGACTGCTCGCATCCAATGGTCCGAGCATCGGTCTCGTACCTCCGCCGCTACCTCTAACGTTTGCATTCGCATCACCTCCATCTACAACACATCATTTTATTAAGCAATGAGCAAAATACCAATTGGTAAATTATCGGCTACTCACCTCGAGAGTTCGCTTCGTTCTGCTTCGATACTTGATCGGATCGGGCCTGGAACTTTGTGTGTACGTTCTCCGCTCCCTCTTTCATCATCGCTAAAATACCTGCAAATACCGTAAAACAACAATCCATTAAACCATCTGCACATTCACTACATTCACACACTCAAACGCACTCAAAGCAACAACAACAACAACAACAACAATCAAATACACAACACTAGAGCTACTACAGTCCATTACCGTGCTTGTCCTTCTCCTTAATCATTCGTTCCATGTTCTCCGCTTTGTCCTTAACTTTTCCAAAGAAATCTTTCGCAGCGCAAAACGAATATTCAAAATTATTACTATTATTAATCGACATTGAAAGCAGACTTCAAATATATACACAAACGCATCATCATCGTATCGTATTCATAACAATATAACCGACTCACCGACAATCTTCTTGTGGGCGTCAGGACTGGCACTCTGCGTGAGCGCCGCCACTTTCAGATACTCGGATTGAGAAATGAGACCTGCAGCCTCCAGACTACCTGGCGTCATCGCCGAATACTCCTCGCTGAGCAGCTCGATGATGAGTGCTTCGATGTCGAAGAAGAGGATGTGACTCTCCGGATCCTTGGGATTGGTGCGAAGGCCCTGCACGGCCAACGGGGAGTTGTGGCTGCGCTGCATGTGCGGATCGTCGTTGTTCGAGTGCGCTCCGAGCTGCTGCAGCTGATGGAGACCGCGCTGCGTCGCGTGTCTAATCGCTGACAGATTTCTATGCCGAAGACCTCTGCAAAACAAGAAACATTAATCGCCCATCCCATGCAAAGAACGAACAACGAGGATCAACGATGACGATACCTGAAGAAGTGAACTGCGGGATTGGCTAATCCCACCTCCGAAGAGACATTGTTCGTGGACTCGTTCTCCTCGCAGGCGTACAAAACTTCTTCGGCTGCGATGCCTGAGGACAGAAAATCAATTAATCGTTTGGATCATCATCTCATTCCTCTGTATTTGTATTTCATACCTTGCAGTACCCTGTCCAGATGTCCCGTCTCCATTTGCCAGACGTAGACTGTGCCGTCCGAGCAACCGATGATCATAAAGTCATCCTTGGGTCGCCACTTGATCGTCGTCACCGGGAAGAGATGTCTCGATGCAAGACACACGCACTTCTTCTCGCTGAGACTGAGCAGCGTCACCGAATGATCGGAGGCCACAGAGCAGATGCACTTTTGAACGCGAGTCTAACCGAATCAAACATAATACAAACATAAAGTATGCACATAATACACATATAATTAGGCTTACGTTGCAAATGTTCGGGGGGACGAGCAGCTGGGTGATCTCTCCTGCGTGCACGCAGAACCTGTGCAAGAGGTTTCCATTGCTAAAGTCCCACAGGCAGACGGCAAAATCGACTCCGCCCGACACCAGATGCGTCTTGTCGTAGCGCGAATGCTCGCTGTACGGATACAGGAGACAGTTGACACGTCCGACGTGACCAGAAAGCACCTGGTGCTGCGGCCATCCATCAAACTGCTGATGATTTCCGTGCAAAAGTTGAAGCATCACCGTTTGCGTCGCCGGTACGATTATTATCGTTCCATCCTCCCTGCCGACGACCAACCTGCACTGCGAGGGCAGATAAATGCTGGCAGTCAGTTTCACAGCTGAAACATATTCAAACACACAGATTCATTCGCGTTCACTCACAACACGTCGACTTACTACTACACGTACATTCGTGCTCGTGCTTCTCAATCTGATCGAGGACGCCGACCGGACTGGGATTCATGCCGGCCCACGCCTGCGTTAGGCTGGTAGTGAGGGTGGCCGTCATCTGCAGAGGTTGCGGCATCTTCTGCGTCTGAATCTCCTGCACCTTCTCCATCGAAACTTCCGGTATGTGCCACAGGAGGACGTAACCCTCGGAATCACCTCGCACTAGATACCTCTGCGATTGATTCTGTTTCTGCGTCGTCACGAAGCACATCGCCGGCGGACACGATAATGGCTGCAACAGATTAAATCAACAATGCCATCATAGCAGGCAGCATAATTATTTGCACTTACTTTCAGGTCGGACTGACTTAGAATGCAGTACAGAAAAGGGCTGTCCGTCTCGACGGTTGCAGTATGGAAGTCCTTATTATCCGGTATGCAACTACACTCGAACAAATTCAAAAAAACAAAAATAAAATAAAACAAACATGACATTTACAGAAACAACCACTCGCACCACACAAAACAACCACAAGATATATGCACACAAAAGAGACGACACATGAAGAGTTTACAACAACAACAACAACAACAACAAAGCAGAGAATAATGCAAAAATAATTAAGTGGTGCAATTGAAATAAATTTTAAAAAAAAAAAATAAGAGAAGTGTTGCCATGCATCCAAATAATAAGTTATATATAAATATAATTGATTAATATCAATAATTGTACTATATACACACACACACACCCACACACATATGTATATATATATATGTGAAGATAGAAAAATAGAGAGGGATTAAATTGAAATAATATACATATGTAAATAAATGTACAAAGTAGAAAATAAATAGAATAAAGTTTTGTTTGAAATATGTTGCGCTAACCTATTGATATTCTTGCCCAGAAGTTTTCTTAAGTTTGGCGGATCCGGTGGAATCGAATATAATGTGACAACAACGGTTAGTGAGAGATATTTTGAGGAGGACACACAGAGAAACAGAGAAAAAAAAAACAGAAAAAAAATACAGAATTAATAATAATAATAATCAACGATTCATCATCTGACTGCAATAATAATAATTAATAAATAATTTCCATCATCATCATCATCAACATCACAACGACGTCGATGATATCAAACACACGATGATAATGAAAACTAGAGTGCTTTGAAATCATAATAAGATTAATTAATAATAATAATACTAATAATAATAATCGAGAACGGCGATGACGTGTGTGTATTTGGTTGCGCACTTACTTGTTGGGAAGTTTGTAGAGGTAGCCCTTGCCCGCGTCCGACCACACGATGATACGATCCACTGCAAGGAAATCCCCGGACATCCAGCGTTCACCGCGCGGCGCTATGTACGAGCAGAGAACGCTGAAATCTCCTGCAAATACAAGGAAGAAAGGAAAGAATTGAAGATTGGATTGAAAGTTGGGATTCACGTAGACTTACCGGCATCGTAAATCTGCCAGTATTTGGTGCACACGATCAGCACGGTCCGCTGATTGTACGCGCAACACTGCATGCTGACAGCATTCAGACATCGGATCTGCTTGCTCTCGTTCTCGTATATCGGTTCCGAGTGCTTGTTCTCGTGCCCGAGCAGCGTCCACACCTTGACCATTCCGGTCGTCGTCAGAGCCAGCACCACGTCATCCTTGCGCTTCGCCGGTCGCAAAACCTGCACACAAACCATCATCATCATCAGTCAAGAGAAGATCACTTCATGCTGCTCATAGCTGTACTACTCACGTGCAACGCGCTTATCCAATCCGGATTAACTTTCGACGAGAGCGCAAACAATATCTCCAAACTGAACGGGTCCATGACTAGAACTTCCGGATAATACCCGTTGCAAAACAGCCTCACGTCTTCGCAGTTGCTCATGTGATAAGCCTGAATTAAATTCATATATATATTAATAATAGCTCATCATTCATATGAAATCCAACCACCAACCTGCATACTCGTATGAACCTGCGGCAACTTGACGCACTCCCTGCACTTGCCGTCGACGAGGTCCCAGGTGCACATCTCTCCCGCCTCCGAGCTGGACACTATATAGTTATTATCTTGTACGATGGACGCCTTCGAGATGCACAGGATGGGCGCCGTGTGCCCCACCAGCAGACACCTGGGGATCATCTCCAACGTGTCCGGGTTGACTTGCCTGCAACGCAAACACATATATATCGAACAATCATAATTAACAGTGAGCGCACACACTGACCACAAACAGATTTGTCCATCGTAGCATCCAGTTGCAAGAGTCCTCTGGTCTCTGGAGAGGTAAATGCACGAGATGCAGTGTGTTGGTGCATGCTTGCCCCACAGCACAACCGGCACCACTAAACTAGTCCCAGGCATCCTCTATCACTACTCCTTTATCCCTCGGCACATCCAATTGGATTCCAAACAATTGCGCTGTGTACGCGGGCGGAGCAAATCCTGCGTTCGAAAATTAATAGGAGAGACTATGAGCAAACACGAAAATCACAAACACATATAGTACACAATTGATTTTCAAGGTTCAATATTGAAGGAGGAAGAAACTGTGTCTAATTGTTTAAGTAAATCGGTGAGTTGCGACAATTCGCGGTGTGCGGTGGATGACATTGTTTTGGATCGACAACCATCCTGCCGCTGTCAACGGTGAAGAAGGAATGATTGGAATGATGCGAGGAAAAAGGATGGGATGATGAAACAGCAGCAGCAGCAGCAGTAGGGGGAGGAATCGATGAGATTAAGAGTGCTGTGGATTCGATCATAAGTCTGTTTGGATTGGTTAATAGGTGATGATGGCGGGGAGAGTGGGGACGGAGGGGTTGGGATGGAGATGGGAAACGGTGTCGATAATTATGTAGGTGGGAATACAGAGAGAAAGAAAGACAGAAGATGATGTGTACGGATTGCGCAATGTTTTACCTTCGTTCGCTTACTCCACTCCACTCGAAATCAGCGACGGCACGGGGGGTGCGGTTCACGCACTTCTCTCACTCTCTTTCTCTTTGACCGTCAACGACGTGTCTTCGTCGTCCTCGTCTCTTACGTTCGTTCTTTTACCAAACACTTCTTGCACGACGACCGCATACACATACACACCATACGATGAATATATTTCGTATTATTGCCGAAACACTACGCTGCCGTTGCCATCTTTTCCACTCGTCATTTTCTTTGCACACTCTTTCTACCTCTCTCTCTCTGTCTCTCTCTCGTGTTGCCCACGTTCGATGCGTTTGCACGGCCACAAATACAAACGATCAGCTGTTCACACACAATTTACCATTGTCATTTGACAAACGTCAAAAGTTGATCATCGTTGCCAACGGTGCGTCGCGAACGGCGCCAATTAGTTTTCTGGACCGAAACTACCAACCGTTCAAACGTAAAAACATCAATTGATATTCGATTTATTCTCACATATTATCACATATCACATCAATGAATCGTGATCTAAAATCAATTGCGCTCATCGACTTGCAAATTCACTTTGTTGACCAACAAGCGAAATCTGTCGCAATTGACATATCCGTCAATGAACTGTCAATAAGATTTTTTTGACGTTGACAGTTGGTTGAGGTTATTTGGGTAAGATTATAAATAAATCAGTGTGTGTGTCTGCGTGTGTGTGCGTTGCGTTTTAGGCGTGTGCCAAGAGCATGATTTTCGCTTTCATACTCTATTTTTTTTTTCTTCTCTCGCCTGCACATTTTACGCTCACGCTTCGCTGCACATTCGAGATGGTGGCATGAGTATCGGACATAACCTATAAATCGCTCGCGAGTTCGTTTCCTCCACGTGAGAAATATCTATGGTCGAGTTGGAGACATGAAGTGCCACTACGAAGTGCTGGGTGTATCCCTGGAAGCGGACGAGTCTGAAATCAAGAGCGCTTACAAGAAGTTGGCACTGCGCTGGCATCCGGACAAGAATCTGGACAGTCCGACGGAGGCGAAGGAACATTTTCAGCTGGTGCAGCAGGCCTACGAGGTGTTGTCTGATAGACAGGAGAGGGCCTGGTACGATAATCACAGGGAACAGATCTTGAGGGCTTCCAATAGGAATTACGATAAGACTAACTGTCTGAATGTGTTCCCCTATTACCATAAATCATGCTTCAGCGGGCACGGAGATAATGAGGGTGGTTTCTACGCAGTGTACAGCTGGGTGTTCGAGACGATTGCCAAGGAGGAGATGGAGTACATGGAGAGGGAGGAGTTTTGCAAGATTCCGATATTCGGGAATTCGCAGAGCGATTACGAGATGACCGTTGCTGCTTTCTACAATTTCTGGCTTGGCTACAGCACGAAGAAGAGCTACGTGTGGATGGATCCGTACCAGATGACGGCGGATATGCGCGAGAGACGTCTGCTGAAGGCGATGGAGAAGGAGAATCAGAAGTTTAGGAACAGAGCGAAGAAGGAGAGGAACGAGGAGGTCAGGAATCTGGTGGAAATCGTGAGGAAACGCGATAAGCGAGTGCAAGCGCACAAGATGTTGCTGGAGGCTCGAGCGGCTGAGAATAGACTGAAGCACGAGGAGGTGGCCAAGCAGAGGCAGTTGGCGCGACTCAAAGAGATCAGGGAAACGGAAATTGGCGAATGGATGAAATTGGATAATGTGCAGTCGGAGTTGAGTGCGATCGAGAGGAGCATTGCCGAGGAGTACGGGGAGGATCTGTCAGAAAACGGCGACGACAATGATTGCAATGAAGATAATCTGTTCTGTATCGCGTGCAGTAAACTGTTTAAAACGACGAAAGCGTTCGAGAATCACGAGGCAAGCAAAAAGCACAAGGAAAAGATGAAATTTCTGAAGGAGACCATGTTGAAGGAGGAGAGCGAAATGACGAAGGAAGATGCGAGCGAAGGCGAGTCGCCTG